TTTTTTTTTTTTTTGGTGTTAAAACACTGATATAAATGGCCAACTTACAAACATAAACCATACAATTATTTTCAGTTTATTATAGGTATAATCTATTTTTTTATTTAAATATATATGAAGTCTATGTTCAGCTTATTATACGTTTATCAATCAATACAAGAATACAAACTATGATTATATATATATATATATATATATATATTATTTTCAATTTATTATAGTTTTACAGCCAATACCCTTATACAAATAATTTTTTAACAAAATTACTCAAAAACTAAAACATAAAACACAATAGAAACTGCAAATAAACGAAACAAAAACTGTTAGAGAATGCTTGGATACAAATCTAATTCAATTACTCCCTCCGTTTCACAATATATGTCGTTTAAGTGAGAATTTCTTTTTACTTATTAATTGGCGTTTTAGATAACTATAAACTAATTAGTTTGATAAGTACTCCTCAAATCCTAAAATTATGTAGGTTCAGTTCATGGTTGTTTCTTTTAAATGCTCTGTATTTTATCTATAAAAATCTCCAATTTCATTCCAACAACAACATGAAAATACATTTTTTTTTTCCTTGAGAAAATCACCCGCCATTTGTTCTTTAACTTTTGAAAAATTTTATTCACCAACCGATACAATTTAAACCAATTCATTAATCAACCTAATGGAGATTTTTATATCCCCGATTTTCCTTTCTTTAAGAATTTTGTCATATTCTCCCCCAATCTTAATAATTTATATAAAGAGTATGAATCAGATCAATTGTAATGATCCTAAAAACATTATGAATGAGCTGTGAAAGAAGAAGATGACGAATTAGTAATTACTGATATTAACGTGACAGAAAGTAATGGAACTACAAATATAAATGTCTATATGGATGATTATAAAACTGATAAGGAGAGAAAAAACTATTAAAAAGGTATTTAAATAATATTTAAGAGATTTAGAAAAATCTAAAAGAATGATAAGATAAAAAAATTCCTTCAAATACATAATTTTGTTCTTTTAAGCTACAACGACAAGTATTTTAAAACAGAAGGAGTAATATACATAAAACCAAGAGAAATATT